AGTCAGGAAGAGTTTCTGCACGATGATATTGTACCACGGAGAAATCAGGGCCGCAGAAAAAAATGTCAGCTTTAACGATCAGTCAGCTGTGTGTGTCATCTCCCCCAGCTCCAGCAGAATTCCCTCCCTACCTCTGGCAATAACTGCAAGGCCACGGTGCAGAAAGGTGACGCCATCTCAAGAGACGATGAATGAGAAGCAGCGACGCTCCTTTTCCCCGCTCCGGAGCACCACAGTGGGCAGCAGAGCTGGAGCCAGGCCCTGGGCGAGCCTGGAGGTCAATGGCCCTGAGGCATGCAGGCAGCTTTCTGGAAGAACGTAAAGATTTCTGAAATAACGGCATCAAAACTGAGCCTTCTAAGAAAATGCGCTTTTTTTTGTTGGGTTGGCATGTTCCAGCAGAAATATTTTTCCAACCAGTTATTATTTTTAAGGCTGAACTTCTGCCAGCTATTGTAGAGAGGAATAGCCAGGATAGTAGGGCTATGGTCCTTCTGTGTACAGTTACTGTGGCTTTCCTAACGCTACAGGCAACAGACCCCAGTTAGGAAGAAACAGGAGAACTCATGTACCGTCATGCGTTTGTGTATCTCCAGCTTGGAGAGGCAAACCAAGATTTTTCCCTTGGAGTGATACTTCTGGGTAATGCTTTTTAGGTGCCGACAGGCCTGCTGTGGAAAAGGGCCTTTTTCCTGGTTGTATTTCAAAGTTTCCTTCTTAGTCTCCAGAGCAGTTCACTGTCCAAACCCCCAGCCTAACCCCAAAGAAATCTTGTTGGTGAAGGCAGTACTTGCTCAAGCTTTCCAGTTTGCAAGAAAGATGACGGCGTTTGTAGCACCCCACTTCAACCCTCCACTGCTCTCAGATGATGCTGGAGGACACCAGAATCCTTTGCTGCATTAGGTGCCATACACTGAAACGGCTTTCCAGGACATGCACAGATAAACACAAAAGTCAAACTCTTCAGATGGTGAAAATGAGTATTACTCCACCAGGAAAGGCAGAACGCCTTTCATACGCCAGCCGCATGTATCATTTAACACACAACTGACACGCTTCCCACAGTCGTACCTTTAGCTTCAGTGGAGATGTTCCTACTTAAAGCAGGGTATGTTTGCTTCTGCCTTCTCTTTGTAGGTAAAACCATGTTAGAAATGAGTAGCGTATGGGCAGGAACGTGACCGGCCAGTAAAGCTTCACTGAACGTGAGCTTCTCACTTTGCAAATCATAGGTGCTGGCAATAACTCTCCCTGACTTTCTCCCCCAACGCCCCAACACCCCCACGGCCACTTGAAAAGTGGAAGTGTTGGCAAACTGACATTTTGCAGAGTTGTGAAGACAAACTATTCAGGAAATGAAGGGGGGGGAGGAGGGGATGACTGTACCATCGATCTCATTAAAAGTTCATCTTGCTACCTAAGTACACATTTAACACGTGAATAAAATATCCGGGGCTTTTCTATTATTAGTTTCCTCAAGAGTGGATGAATATATTAAAGCGTATAAGGCTCTGAGAGATTCTGCGATGGATGCTCGAGGAGTGCGGCACACACAGGCAGATAAACTGCATTTATGGAAGTTTTTTGTAAGAACGATAAAGACCCCCCTCGGTTAATGACATTGTCCAATCTCCTTACATTTCTTCATAGATTCGGGCTAGAAAAGTATTCCCTTCCCCCTTCGGTGCTTGTTGCTAGAGGCATCCTGATAATCAGACTAATCTTGGGACCAATTTTCAACTCCTAACAGCTCAGTAAACTAAAATGCTTAGGCAATTTATTCTCTGTATATTGTCAGCTAGGTAACACTTGACTCCTCATTCCATGACTGCATTTTATTGTTTTAAACTGAAATCCAGCATGTGTGTTTCCAACAGATTATCTCCATAATCACTTTCTTTTTGCTATGGAAATGATCTGAAAATTGTTCTTTGATATGAGAGAAGAGTTCACAAGGCCACACTGTACAAAAGCTCGAATCGTGCAATTATCATTTGTAAAGAGAAACTGTTATCAAAGTAACTGCAGGGGACACCTCCAGGACTCCTCTTAGAGTCAGGAAATTTGAAACATATATTTCTCTAACATGAATTTCACTCCAAACCCTTCTGAATAATTCATGAGAGCTGATTGAATGTCATAGTTAAGTCTGGCACTCAGGACGGAGATCGGGGGCTTCTGCTGCAGATGGAGGATTTCGCCAGTTCCTTTGGGGTAGGGGGGACAGAGCTGGGGTCTCATCGCTAGAAGGGTTTTGCTACCCAGGTGCCTTTGATTTGGGAAAGTCCCTTCCCTGTGATGAGCAGGCTTGCAGGGAGAGGCTGGGGAGGAGGTGAGTACCTTCCTTACTTCTATCTCAGGCTGCCTGCTGGGGAGGCAGGAAGGTAAAGGGGAGCGGGAGTCCCCCCCCGCCCCGTCCCCCTGCCTCACTCTGCCCCCACCAGCGCTAATGGCAATCAGAACCAGAGCCTCTACTTTTCTTAAGCAGCGTCAAATTACCCCCACTGGTGGATAACAAATGTTATCTGTTCTTTAAAGGAAGAAGGCACCTTGAGATGGGAAAACGCCATTTTGTTCTTCATTCACTAAATGAGAGGAGCTATAAATTGCTGGAAAATGGTAGTTTACAAAGCACTAAAAGGAAGACCTGCAGTTTGGCACGTGACCAATACCACAAGAGTGAGTCTGGTTTTCACTATCCTCTTGTGTGTCTACAGGCAGGAAAATTAGCTGAAGGGATGCTTGCCGCTTGTACTTTTTACCTGTAAAAGTAAAGAGGTCAGAGGCAGCTGTGCCCTGAGGGCTTGCTTCACCATCAGGACTGCTGCTGCCAAATTCCCGCTCCCTCCCAACCTGGGATGAGGTGGAGAACTAAATCTCTGAGGAAGCACCCTCCTCAAGGTCTGGGGACTTCCATGAACTCAGGATTTCACCCCCCCCAGTACTCTGGTATGTTACTGTGCTAAAACTACCCAGGACTCGCATTCTCACTATGCAGTACAGCCTGAAGACAAATGCCATTTGACGTTGCCGGCTTTTTGGAAGAGAACACGGGGAAACGGAAAACAACCATTTTATAAGACTTATCAGCACTTTTCTAATGCTGGGTGCTCCTTTTTACAGACAGCAAAACTAAGGCATATCTATTTTGACCAAGGTCAGAGAGTGGCAAAATACTCAGATTTTGTTAATTCCCAGAGGCCAAATTCCTCCCCCGTAAGAACAGGGTGCTGATGCACAGAACCACGCTGCCAAGTTGCTGAGCAGTACTGAGCATAATTGTGTTTGTTTTTCATAATACAACAGGCTATGACACTGTCACTGATAACTCCGATGTGAAACTGATGAGCTGCAATACAAAACTATGACAGCTTTATCCTTGGCAATCTCATTTGCTGAAATGCAACAATCATGAATGCCTGTTAATTATTCTCTTTGTATTATGCAAGATTTTACACTTAAATAGGAGTCATGTGTGGTTATTACTTACAGATATTCAAAAGCCAAAAAGTTGTCTTTAAGACACCTGAGGAACTGGGGAAAACCACACTACTGTGAAGTGAGAAGTTGGTCCTAACACATCTTGTCCTAAAGCCTCTGTATTCTTCAAATTTTAATCATTGCCCAATGCTATAGATGACACCTACTGGGCAAATGAAGGCCTGGCACATCCAGTATTTCACAGCCTTCTGGATACTTGGCTATTCCCTGAAATTGCTGGCAAGAATGAATCCTCTTTACCCACTGCAATAAGATTTTGTTGCACCCTTTACACAGGTAGGCAATTAATAACTGCTAAGAGGAAGACCAGAAATACAAACCCTCACCTTGCTAGGTACTCCTGAGACCATTGCTTTTATTGAAGTCTAAAACAGTCCCTCTGTTTTGTAAGCTTTGTATAGAAGCAGGAAGACCAGAGCACTAGGGAAAATACTGCTTACCTTTTTCCTAGCACTGATTAATTTTTTGCTTTGCAGGCAACTACAATAACGTTGTTACACCTCTCCATTACCAATCACTGTTAAACAATGGAATAGCAGTGTGTTAGAGTTCATCAAATACAAGCGATATTAATGGCATAGTTAGAAAGAAAACGCTGAAAACTCTCCCTTTATGTTGGCTAATTATTCACACTGGGACTAATAATAGATTTTTCATGAGTAAAAATGATATTAGGTATATTATCCAAGTTGCTGCTCTTACTGCTTTCTAGATAAAACTGATCTGAAGAGAAAATTTCTATCAACTCAAACTGCAAAAGCATGCAACCCAAACATCAGGGGTAGTCTTCGCAAAGTTAGACTATATTCTCTATTACGCGCTCACTGATATGACTCCACTGATGAAAATTCCAAGTATTTAGAGAAAAAAACCTGTAAGATTATTGCTCCCCATTTGAACTTGTAAGAAGAAAAAAACCTTCTACACATTTTGCGTGTGCAGCTACAGTGATTAACTGCATATATTAGATATTTGCAAGCATAATTAGTTAGCTGTCTGCACAACTCAAATTACCCAGGAAACACTTTATTCTCCACGGTAATTGCAAATCTGATGTGCCACAATTGCCCACACCTTTTTGTGTAAAACAAGACACTTAAATATATGGAAAAAATAGTTTAGAAATTTTAGTATCTTAAAAATTGATTCCATCTTTTATTAACTTAATAGGGAAATTTTTAACAAACTTGTATTCAAAAAAAAAAAAAAAAAAAACAAAAAAACAACCCTGTACATTCAGGAATGGTCCAGAACTTAGCACTGCATGACCCCAGAAAATAATGCCACATAGTAAGGTCTCCAGATCCTCAAAGAAATGACAGACTGGCATGTAGCGTCATGATTTTTTTTTTTTTAGCATACCAGTTTTTGTCAGCTGCTCAAGTTTAATAAGGGGATTCACTTTGACCTATCGGTCTTTGAATGTTCATGTACATGTTCTCTCCCATGTGATGAGCATATATGGGGCAGTGTGCTTTCCCAACGTCTTTGGTATTTGGAAAGCTATAGAAACTCTGTATTTAAAGTTTTCTTTGCAGGAGAAAGCCCTGAATATAAAGCTCCCACCAGTTGAGACATGGAGACCTCAGGCAGCCATACTCCATTTTCCTTTCTGGCAGCATTAAGGTAAGATCTCACCAGGCACTGTTCGGGAGTTGAATATATTCATGTAGAAATCTATCAGTAGTTCAGTGAAGAGATTCAGAGGTACCAGAGCACTCAGGGAGGCTGTTCCTTTTGACGGCCAGATCAAATTCAAGCCAAAGACACAGGCCAGGCTGGATGCTGTCATTCTGTTATATATGCTCTCCTGTGAAACCTGGAAAAACATAAACATGAATAGGTATATGCAGACACGTGCCCCGAAGAGTGAGAGACAAGACACCATTCTGTATTGAGGATGAACCAATGCTGGGAGCAGACCCTGGCCACAGGTACATCACTGACTTCTTAACAGCCTCAGGGCTGACTATGCAGCCTACAGCTATTGGAGCCACTGGAGTTTGTGTCCCTCAAGTACAAAAGATGTCAGTAAGTCAAGCAAAAAGACTGAATTGTTTCCTTATGCTAGGAAAATTAATTGGTTTTAATCCTTCTATAAGGAATCTGTTGTTATCTCTGCCAGAGGGCAGGGAAGGACAGCATAAACAAACAGCTATCCCATCTGTTTTGGTACTAAGTCCTCTACAGACTAAATCTCGAGGACTTCTCAAGTTGTTTGCAAGGGTTTGGAAGGATTTTTTTTTCTCCCACTGATGCATGACTTCACTTCCAAGTACCTCCACATCCACTCAATTCCTCCAAAGCAATGGAGGTGAAAATGGGTTGTAGGTAAAATACACAGCACTGAAATCTGTTCTACACCTGGATGACGTGTCCCACTTCTACCTGTGGATGTGAGCCTAGAATTGGGTAGCACAAGTATTTTTTTTCTCTGTGTGAGCTTGGCAGGGAATTTGTGTGTGTTTTGCTCTCCTGCATTGCATGGCTGGTATCTAAAGCCCAATATGGTCTTGGTGTCCTATCTGACAAGCTCTCTGTTATTGTAAAGAGCCAGCAAGCTGAAGGTGCTCTTGATTTCTCCTGACCTAGATAATGCAGCCAGTTCTGCTCAGGCTGATGGTTGCAGTTGTTGGTCAGTAATCTGTCTTGGGAAGACCATCCAGTCACAAACTGCGACATACAAGTTACTCTGAATTTGTCATCTCAGAACAGAACAAGGAATTATTGGGCAAAATCTCCCGTGTATTCTTCCTGCTACAATTTCAGGCGGAATAGGAAAGCAAAAATCCTACTTCTCAGTATCTCTCCATTTCTGCCTTGCCATAAAGCCTCCTGAAAAGGCAGCTCTGTAGTACTATGAAAAGTTTGAGGGCATAGAGGAAAATCTAAGAAACACTATGATCATGTAAACACTTAGCATATGCATAAACTCCAGTTGCCCTCTGCCCAGTAACACGGGTTTCATTCCCCTTTATCTCCTACAGCACAGTCCCACCCTCCTTGGTGTTTTAGCTAGCAAGAAGCCTATTTGCTCAGCTGTGAGGGGATATAATGCCCTTCAGACGCGTGCGCAGGATGGAAATCTTTCCTTGGGGGACATGAAGAAGCACTTATGTGCCCAAAAGCATAACATTTTCTTCCTAACCATATTAATTTTTCCAATAATAGGTACTATTTTTCCCTCCAATCTTTGCCTCACCCTCCTGGGACATCAAAGCTACCGTGTTGCTGCTTCTGCTACGAATATTAAAGGCTTCAATTGTTTTTAAGATCATGAAGCAGGGCGGGATAAAGGAAGGATGTATTAATAAGGAGATAGCAGTGCCATAAGACCCTTTTCAAGGCATCGACTTCACAACTTGAGAAAAAAAAAAAAAGTCATCAGATTAAACAGCAACGTCTGCTCCATGACGTTATGCAAAACTCACATCATTCTCTCTAGAGTACGAACCATGTATAGCCTGCTGACCTTCACGTACTGCTCTCAATGCACTATTTAACTATACAGAAAAAAAACCAAGCCCATCTTGTTCACGTAATCTGTTTCAGACGAGATCAGCTCAAATAAGGGTTCATTACACTACAGCAATGTAGCAAAAGCTAAACTACTATCAAAATAACTGATGAGGGAAAACAATTAGGACAACAATAACAGGAGTACCCTGTTAAGAAAGGAGACATAGACCTAGGTATTACCCTGAGGGTGGCTGAACAATGAAGCTGGCATTTGGATACTGCTAAATATAACAAGGTTAGGGACTGCGTTCTGGCCCTTGGGTCAAGTGTCTCATACTGGCTGCATCCACACTATGTAATGTTGTACTCTGAAACCCCTGTGGATTGAGGTCAAATTATTTTTTGGTGTTTCTTTCAGTTGAAAGTCTCTAAAATAATGTGAGAGCTACAGCCCATCGCACTGTGTTTTCTATAGCACAAAACCAAAGATATGTGTATCCTAAGGCAGGTACCTTAAGTGTATACAGGGCAGGTACCCTGTGATGGCAGAGAAGCATGTGGTATAGCACCGGAGGACAGTGGAGGGTGGAAGAAGCCAAACCTGTTGCAGTTGTCTTCCCCTGGTTTTGGGGAGGGCTCCCTGAAACACTCCAACCTGAAAGTCATGTACAGGTGGTATCTTCAAGTGCTAGTTGAAACACATCCACCTTAACCTAGCTGCTGCCTTCGAAGGCCAACATTTCAGCCCAGAGCAACACCACTACAACTTGCTGGTAGAGCTAGATTTGTTTTTTCTCTTTAGGCCAACTATTTCAAAGAATGTTTCTAACTCCAGGATGAAACCACATCTTCCCACCCGCCACCAATCTGTGAATATTTCAAGGAGACAGTCAATGTTGAAATGATCAACAAAAATGCCCATGAGAGAGAAAATCCTTAAGATAAAATGAACCAATGATCATATCATCTGAGGCAGAGCTATAGTAAGCCTATCTGTGAGTCATCAATCAGGCTGACACTTAGGAATTCAAGGGAGACACAGCACATTGCTTCACTCCAAAATGCACAGCATTCCCTTCCTCAGCAGATCCAAGAAGTGGTGTGCAACTGAATCCAACTCTCTCTCCACAAGAATCTTTGCCAGCTCATCAAGAGCTGCAAGCAAGGAAGCCTTGTCACACCATTGGCAATGGCTTTATTCCTCCCCGAGGGGATCCGGCTTCACACTACCTCAATCCCCTCACTACCCCAAGGCCAGATTTCTTTCTTGAGCGACACGGACACATCCACTTCATCTACAACACTATCATGAGCAGCTGATGCTTTCTTCCAACACTAGACCATGTAAGGGCAGCATGCAGTCAGCCAACCTCTTTATGGGCTACCTCTAAATAACTGCACCCCAAAGCTACATTCTATCTAAAAACTATAAATGACACTTTTAGCATTTGGACTAACCCCCTTGACTCCTTCTTTGATCCCCTCAAAAAGTCAGTAACCGTCATCTCTGTTTCAAATGAAAATACACTTGCTCTGTCAATTTGACAAGCTAATAAAAGACAATTCTCCAGGGACCTAGATGGCGTCTTTGAAGGAATCATCTGAACATCACAGAAAAGTATTACAACAAAGAACTACACAGCTCCAGTTTGGTGGATTTTTTTCCCCCTTTCATTGGAACATGTATAGAAAATTCATTAAATAGTGACAGCCTATATTGAAAGAAAGTCCCCTAGAAAGATAAAACTTGTACATTGCAAAACCCATCATTGGGAATAAACACTGAAGACTTAGTGCCACATCAACAGATGTGAAATATACATCTTTACTACCCCAAGAATAAGCATCCATCTCCCCCCAGCAAAACTGTGATGATTTTTGGAATCCACATACTTGCATCCCAGCACCAGCATAGGTACTGCAGGAGTGAAACCAGCCAGCCACTACACTACCTAATGAACTTAAACAGTGAAATACAGAGGGTAGAAACAGTCAATTACCACTGAGTTTTAAAAATATAAGGACATCACCATCTCTTTGGCTTCTCAGTTGGAATGCTGAAAGGAACTCCACAAAACATTTCCAAAAGAAAATTACTAGATATTAAAACGCCCCCACAAACTGACTGCAAGTACAAGTTTCTATCCCCCACTCTAAGCTACCTTGCAGACGTGCCAACTGCTTGTATCTACTCCATGAGGCTTAGTCATCTAATCCTTCCCAACATGGCCTGTCATCTCCAGCCACCCCCAAGCTCTGCTGGTGCTAATTACACTTTTCAATTGGACAAGCGATTGAGACAAAACATTAATTCAGAGCATTTTTTTTTTTTCAGCTTGTACTTGGCTTTAACTTTGCTGCTTCAGTTACAAATCTGAAGCATGGCTCATGGGCCCCAAAACTTAGTCCATTTTCTCTACTTGGTCCAAGTTTGATGCTTTGAATTTGGCAGGTTTTTGCAATGGTTCTTTCAGCCAAGTCAGCCACCCTTCCCCTGCATCAGGTATGAAAAATAAGCAGCAGAGAGGGAAAGCGTGTAAGCATAGAGAGGGGGCTGTATCAGCCGGTACCAAAACCAAAGACATGGTTATAAAAACAATCTAGATGATATTATTGCCTCTACAAACTCTCCTGATTGTGACTGTGATGGAAAACTACAATTTCTAGTTTTCTACTAAATGGTTTCTGGCTTCAGAACTGGGTAACTACAGCCCTCAGCGTGCTTTGCCAAGTAATTTGCAAGAAGACTTCTTTGAGCCCTTTAAGTTTGCATGTGCAACCATAAGTCTGCTTCACTGCATGTGCAACACAGTGCTTGTGGAACACAAACGCTTGTTTGTGCCCACTCATCTCTCTTGTGAGATCAGCTGAGCAGGCATGGACATTTTTTACAGCCACAATACAGGGACTGACTTGTAAAAAACAGTCTTTGTTTTCCCTCTTGCTCCTGGTTGCCCAATGCTGCCTAGGAGCCTCAGTCCACTGCAACTCCAAGCAGACTCTGCAAATCCCCCTCTAGCAGCCAGATGCACTGCAAGGTGGAGATGGATAGCTTACAACTTTCACAGCACACTGGGCTCATGACTGGCAAAATCACTCCTAATCATAAAGTTAAGGAATTTGGACCTATTTTTGAAATTCAAGTCTTTTACTTCTATAGGAGTTGCACTGTCTTGCACCCTTGGACTAGAAGGAGCTGTTTCATTAAGTAAGGGGGTTGAGACTGCAGAGAAAATAGGGGTATTTTCCTTCCTCCACAAGCCTGTATCAAACCTGGAGCGTTCAAAGCCTGTACCTAGTGATTACAATTCATCCCACTTCATGAAATTACCACAAGTACCTCTTGCACTACTCAAGGCTGAGCTCATGGAAGAATTAAATTGCCTCTTACATGTAAGAAGGTTGATGCTTGCAGGTAAAAACTAGGATTATTGCTAAAGTGCTCTGCTAAAGTTTGAATTGTGGCAGCTTGTGCAGCACACCGATCTGCAATGAATAGAAATCTCTATCTCCTAGATTGTTTCACGTTCCCTTGACCTTTCCAAATGCAAATATTCCCTGAGACATTAAGGATGAGAAGCCATGGATCAGCAAAAATTGCAGATCTGAACACTAGTATCAACTTGACGTTGTGCTTTACATAACAAGGCATACTCAAAAATAATGCTAAGTTCTGTTGCCCAATTACAGAAAACACTATGTAGTACTTTTGCACACCTCATTAACACCTCAAGTGCTCAGCTCTTAAGAAGTGCGTTGAGATGGTGCATCTATTATTGGAACAAAGTCACTTACACGATTCATAACACTGAGGAGAGATATCAGTTGCTAAAATAATAGCAAATGACATGAGGATTTCCTTAATAGCATTAGAGTTCAGCTAAGCAACAGTAAACGAACACATGGGTATTACAGGAACCCTGCAAGTGCTGTCTGAGTGAGGGTCATATCAATGTGTTTCCTTTAATCTTGCTTTTCTGCAGTGTTTTGATAGAAAAGGGGATTAAAGGTACTTGTTTCTGAAATATGCTACTGGCTAGAATACGGCAAACATGATTGTAGGCCAAGAACAGTTACTGAGGGCTAATTCCTCCACTGATGAAAATCAGCATCATTCCACATACATGATGGCTTTGGTGGGCTCTTAGGACTTCTAAAAGCTAGATCACTTTAATTAGGTGTCAACCACACCATGATCCTCAATTTTAGGCACCTGAAAAATGCAATCTGGAAAAGACAATGCATTGGGTAATGCAGAAGGAAGGGAAATTTACACTCCTATTACCATCTTTTCCTGCACATCAGCTGGCAACCAAAGGATGTCACTAGGGTAATTCTAGAACTATTTGTAATGGGTGTTCCCCAAACCCTCACACATGTGGGGTTTCCAAAAATGGGTTAAAAAAATCAGCAAATAAAAAAGTAGGAGAAAAGACACATGATTTCATTTATCCTGAAGCATACAAAAAATCCTTGCAAAATGGCATGGTTGAAGTTTTTCATTTAGCAGTGTAGTAAACTACAGGATGAAAGGGTATGTTAAACAGGAAAATGTTATTTGTAAGATTTAAGATAAAAATATTTGCTGATTGTTGTTCTAAAGCTCATTAATGTTTCTTATCGTTTTCTAAAATGACACTAATTTATTTGGTGGTTTAGTTGCTCAAGAGTTATACTTTGGAGAAAAAAGGTGATGTCACATAGTTTTTCTCTGGCACTGAAAATTACACAACAACTATTTTCAGGCTTTTTTTTTACTCTAAAATAGGAAAAAAACAAAAACTAAATCAATAAAAACATACATTTGTGAATATGGAGTTGGGGGGACAGGACTTTTAAATATTCCAGTATAGGCACAGTTCCATTTATATTTACACAGTAGTTTTCATTACATCTAAAGAATTTCATGGTGAAGGGATGGCCAGACCATCGTTTAGCACTGACTTTTCTTAGAACGGAAGGGTTCTGCATCTTGAGTTCACTCCATTGGCAAGTACTGCACCACCACCTCACCATACTTTTAAAATTCTTCAGTTTTATTTTCTGTGGAGATTTTCAATGTTGAATTAACAAGAACAGATTTAGAAAGAAAAGACTGGCACTACTTTGGAAATTTTGCCTATACTCACCATATGGAGAAAGCATATCAGATATTTCAGAACAACGTAATTGTGTTCAGGAAGTCCTTGAATGATTTGCTTACATCTGGTGACCCGTAAACTGCTCTCCACACCTGCAATGTCAAAGACAGTCTTAACTCCAAAACATCAAATATTACCAAGAAATAATACCTTATTTATATCTTCTGGAATTACTTTAGGTCTCTATCTGTAAAAATGACTACAAAATTCAGCTCTACTAACCTCCACGGCCACAGTAACTGTTAGGGTTATCCCTTTGAATGACTCGATCGTGTTTTGTATTATCATGTATCTGGCTAAGACTAACTTCCAGAGTATTTTCTCAATTCAGTGAAATACTCAAAATAATTTCTTTGCTACAGAGGACTTTCAAAGGTCTTGATTTGAATCCCATTCTCTGTTCATGCACCAAATCCAGACATCTACCTTTTACGCTCTGATTTTATTCTTGCTGAGACATAGTCCTTCCCAAAATGCTCTTTTGGCACTCTACTAACTTTAAAAACACTTTTGTGATTCTGCAGGAAAGTATTCTGTCTTGGCAAAAATTCATGAGATGGCTACTTATGTGGGTAAGAATTTTCTCAAGATGAGCCTAAGCAGGTTTATTAACTCATTTCTACAGATGGGCAAAACCAGAACTGGGCCCCAAACTCCTTGCATCATCTAGACAGTCTGTGTGAGACTTACACTAACACTCAATAATATTTCAAATATCATTCCAAGTGTCTTTTTTTTTTTTTTTTTCTGGAATATTGTCATTATTTTAGTACTGGAAGTTTAACACCAGTTTGGAGAAAGGTCTGATGATTACAATCACGCTTGACCTAACCAGCTCATGATGTTTTTTCTGCATTTGTTGCATTTCTCTCTCTCTCTCTCCCTGACACAGCTAGAGGTGCGCATAAGTATGTGTGCATGCACAAAATTCCAGCTTGTTAAATGTTCCCTTAAGCTCTGGATTAAACACATGAAGCTATAGTGTGGTGAGCTGTGATGACATTTTTTCTACTGCAAAGCTACCAGCTCCTGTAAGACACAATAATATGAATCCCAAGAATTTTTCTGTCAACTTTCTGCAGGGTAAATAATGCAGGAAGTGTAGCAATACTGGGTAAAGAACTCTTGTTAGCAGTTTTCATGACTAAAGAAGTTGTTCTTTGACAATTACAAGCTTCAGGGTTTTATTAATTTTTTTTAGTCAGTCACTCACCTTATTTATTTCACAGCTCCTATCAATAACTCTTAAAAAAAATATTTCAGATAAGACACTAAAGAGAAAAGTTTCACTATTATTTCAAAGTACTGCAAAGCAGAGATACTGTATTTCTGGGTTTGCAGGTTAAGAGATCCAATAGATACATCACACCCTGCTCTGGTGTCTTCCAGAAGACAGAATGAGAATTTTCAAATCATCCCAAGACAGCTGTCTGCGATCACACCTCTTCAAAGCTCCCTTCTGCACTGCAGTCACAGAGAATATGCCTTTGCTGCAGTCCAGCTTGGCTCTCAAGCTTAAGATCTTTTAAAATCAGGATATCACCACAGCACCAAGAAAACATAGTGGACATCACACTGGATAACAAGAAAACCCAAGGAGAAATTCTCTTAAATGCCACTTTTCAACAGATTGTGCCAACATTTAAAACACCAGTTAATAAAAATAACATGGAATGAACGTTTCACAGGCGCTTTGCCAAGCAACCCCTCCCCAGCGTTCCTAGGACAATGCATTCCTCTCAGATTCTTTTCAGTCTTGTTCTCCTTTTTCATTTAGCTCTATCACAAAGTAATATCATGTCCAGAAAGTCAGCAGAAGATTAATTCAGTAAAAGTTAGTGTTTATATGTCTTTTTTCCAAGTATTTCCCCTGTTCTTTCCAGTTCTGAGTGACTATGCTTAGTCCCTCCATTTCTACCACCTTCCTGTGAATAGACCTGTTTTTCTCAATGCCCTGAAATATTTATTGTGTGAACAGACAAATCCTTGATTTGGACGGTGGTGATCTACAGACTCGCAAATAGCAAAACAGTACAGAACTTCAGAGGATTCTGAACATGACCTGATTACATTTTTTAATGGAAATACATGAATAAAGCTAATGATATGAAACAGTGCCTGCAGATGTGAGTGATGGGCACAGTGTTTTACCTGGAATACAGTACATCTAGGTACAGTAAACTTGTTGTACTTCTACACTTGACAAACACATAGCAATTGAGATTTATCCCCAGTCTGAATTGTTTTAGTGCCCTACCCCAACAGCAAAAGCCATTATAGTGATGATAACCTACACTTTGCAGCAGCATCAGCCCATGGTTACCAGAGGTACACTAACAGACTTTGTTGGAAGCTGTACTCCATTTAGATATAATTTCCTCAAAAAGCAGGTTTTGGAAAAAATGTGTGCGTGTGACTTGTGACTGGAAGCCCTATGGGTCCCTTGCTAGCTTGACTATAGCCTGGATGGCAAAATACCAGTCTCTACAAGTACTAGGTACTAACTCCCAGATATTCTGGGACCTCAGATATTCAAGCCTCATGTATTAGGGTGCGACCTGCCAGCATTATAAACTCTTAGTCCCTGACAAAGGCCACATAATTAAAGTTTTATAATTCATAGTTTCATGTGATGCCAGATCTTTAGATAATCAATGTCTTCTCATGGCTTCAGATCTTTTCTTCCCCAATATGTTATCCCATGTGAATAGTTGCAACAAAAACAATTCCTTCCCCCCCAAAAAAAAGGAAAAAAAAAAGAAAGCAGCATACAAATGACCAACTAAATTTTGTTTCCACAATCCTGCCAAACCTGCTGCTAAAACTAAAGCTGCTTTGACATAACTTGTATCACTGAGACTGACTCAGCGCTGTGCCATCACATAAAAATGGAGCCCTGACAGTGAGAAGTCTGATCCAATTCTTAAAAATACAGTATGATATATAGATAAACCAGTAAACCTTGTAAAAAGCAGAGAGGGTCTTGGTAACCCTGACCACCTTGCTCTGGTACAGATTATGAAGTTGGCCATCTGTGGCTGCAGTGAAGCACTAATAAATATCATTTACCCACAACTGCGTCATGGTTAGCAAACAGCAGTGACTACAAATTAGCCAGGTCCAGTTCAACTTGCAGTATCATTTTTTCTAAAAGTTATTTATACTCACTGGTGATTCCAAGGATATGATCATAACACTCAAAAGTTAGTAATGGTTGAAATTCACAGACTTGCCTAAAAGGAGAAAAAGAAGAAAAAAGGTGTTCAATTATGTTTTACTTTTCCTTTAAACTGCTGCTTAAAAACTGTTTCACACTACATTTTGAGCAGAAAACCTCTTGGCTTTCTCCTGCTAGTAACTCCCGGCATTTTATTTTTGTAATTTTCCATAGAGTTTTATTCATCTTGCTATAAAAGATTCTCCCCATAAAGGCATTTCATAAAATGACTTCACAGGGAAGTCAGTGACTTTCAAAATTACTTCGCTACATTTCATAAATTCGGTAAAAATTACATATCTTTGCCATAACCATGGAAAAACACCAGAAGCAAAATGACATGGAGACATTGTACTTCCTAAGTACAGTAAAGCGCGTAGAGGCAATACAAATGTTTATGAAAATACAGACCATTTTTGACTCAAACTTCATCATTTATTAGCTGCTACAGATTTTGTAAGCTCTGGTCTGACATCAGCTGACAACTCGCTATTCAGTAAGTGTTAAGTGCCTGTTGCTACCTTTCAGGTTTCCACACTAGTGCTCTTACTATTTTATGTTACAAATGGTTTTATGATTAACTAATGATAAAAAAGTTAGCACCTCTGCTTCACCAACAAAACCAAGCTCAACAAAGCCCTCGCACTATTAGTGGCAACAGTATGATGACAGCTTACCCTGATTGTAGAGTTTCTGAACATCTTTGATAGTCTGGATGCTGGCTGACCTTCTGAAGAGGCCCTCTACTTGTAGTCCTGAAAAAACAATTAATGCAGGTCTCATCTGTAAAAGCTGTCACTCTCTTGTTTTTCTTTACAGGTTCAGTTGAAAACAGAATGGAGGGAGAAGGTTTGGGAACAAAGGCACTTGATACACTCATTTTTTGGAAATAAAGTCCTTGAGAATAGAAGGTAGGATCAAATCATGTTTCAGCATTGCCTACAGCACTTTCTTTAACATGTTGCATAGAAATACTACCACCTTTCCTTAAGTGTTTTAGAGTGTCTTGCCAACTACAACTTCTCTTTAAAAGTAGCTTTCAAATGTACATCTAACAACATAGAAGGAGGAGATTTAGACTTACCAGGCTGCTTATGTACCCACTCTTCAGTGAGCGTACCTGCAAACTGAGTCCCAAACCACGCCTGTGAATCCACTGAAGTAAATTTTCATAGACATGTTTCAGAGACTTCTGCAGAGAACCCCAAGCTCTACTTGAAAGTTCTCCACTGACTAGATTTAGAGGCTTAGGTGGAGTTCAGCTGAATACAGGTCCTAGTTACTTTCTAAGCATTTACGCTCTTGCCTGTGAAATTCCAGGTTGAATATTAAAACATTAGCCCATGCACTCAATTCGGGAAGGAGTATGACATCTCAAACTACAATATCTAAGAAGGACATCCGTGGTTGCTAAAGGAACCAAATGGACAATAATTATGATCCATTAGACCGCTTGCTTTATTCCTGACCAGGTCATGTTTCAGTTGAATAAAGTTACGGCAAATGGCATCACTGTAGTAAAACTGTTCCATTAGATTTATAGCACAACCTGTCTAAAGACATGGTTTAGGAAGTGGCAGCTGTGAACAGCTAGCTCATCAAGGCATTGCCCTCAGCAAACAAGAAATACAATAATTTCCTGAGAATTTGTAGAATATCATGCTGGCTGTCAGCGGACTAGAGGTTTTCTGTAGAAACAAGTCTTTCAGAAAATGGCCATCATAAACGCTTGCAATTCGGTTTGCAGAAATTGGTTTAATAGTTAATGCTTTAATCTGATGTGAATCTCACTGTATAAACTACAATGTAATAAATATCAATTTTTAACATGTTTATGCCTTTATTGGCTAAGCTTTCAAGAGTCTAATTAAAGACATTAATCTGTAGCGTAGACAGCAGCTGTACTTGTCTGGCCCTGTATCCCATCAATGTTACTGTAATGGCACATAATGCTAAGCTCTTGCTGGATATGTTTTTTGGAGGTCTGAGGGGTAAAAAACAACTTTCATCCTCATCTGCAGAAGTCTGGGATACGGGCAATATCTTGCTTCTTCCAGAATTTCATTTTCCAAGTCAGCTGAAACTGAATCAATATACAGCAATTTGTTTGATCACAGGTGGCAACAAGCCAACTACCAAAGCAGCTATCTCCACTCCTTCTTACATTTGTGGGTAACCTATCCAAATGATGTGACAGTAATTAAATGTAGGTTAGTGCAATTGTTAGGAAAAAAAAAAAAAAGCTATATTCTCTTTCTAAAGTAAAAGAACCGCAACAGCAAGAGAGCCACATCTTTTTTGCATAAAAGATGCTCAGACCAGAAAATAATATATTATAGCAATTTTTAAATAAAGCATGGGTCATAACTTCAGTCTGCTGGTAAACAGAAATATGAGTCAACAGCAATTATGCTATTGAAGGGGGAAAATTATGAGCCTGGATACAGAGACAGCCCTTTTGCAATATATTTTTCTGACTTCTGTGATGCATATGAACTGAGAAGGATACTTTTTTTAGAAGTCTGTAAGTCTACTAATTGCCCTCAGTGCTTTCTGTGTTTAGGCGGGGCAAGGGAAAGCAACCTGGAAACATGATTTCAAGATGGTGTTTCTCATGTCACAGAACCCAAACAGCATAGGCCCACAACTGGGGTCTCATAATAAGGGATGGGAAGGAGGAAAGTCATCTGAAGCCTCCTGCTGGTTATTCACCATGATGGATAAATACACAGCTTTGTACAGAGTCAGGAAATACTTTCTTCAAACCTGTCTCTTCAGACACTAGGGAAAAAAAAACCCCAGTTCTTGGAACTACCATAATTAAGCTAACACAAGGTGCCCACACTAAAATAAAATTCATCACTTTGTCTTCTTTTTGCAGACAAAATACATGCCAGAGCCATGAGGAAACAAGTTGGCTGAAGACAAACCTTGTCACTGCAGCTCAAAGCATTCATTTTGTCCTTTTAAAAAAATAATTTTGAAGTAGCCTATTCAATTTTTGCTAGTAGTGTTCTTCAATCAAATCCCCTTTACAGCATGACTCATGTCAGGTGTCTCTTTAATGAGAATTTTTTTTTTTTTTGTGTACAATCTGAACCATTTTACCATGGATAGCATGGGTAACACAGTCCATAGAGAATACCAACCCTAGAGCAGCAGCGCTTGCCAGAACACTGCTAGGGGTTGACTGGCATGAGCAGCTAGCCGAGGCTTTCCAGTTCTGATAAAGACACAGCTGCATGTCACTCACTCACACGATGGATGCTGCAGAGCCTCTGTTGAGATAACTCAGCACAAACTGCTCCCTGTCCCTCACAAAAAAAAAAATTAGACAGATAGATAGATACAGAGATCAGTGGACTTCTGCTACCCTGCACTAAACTCTCCAGAACAAAAACAGTGAAATTTTATTTTAAATATTAAGTGCTATACAGAAAAATGTAGTATGTGACTAGCAAAGGAGCCATCTGTATTCAATGAAAAGTGATTCCGCTATTGAGAACTGAACTGGGTAATTATTTAGACATCAGTAATCATAAATGAAAACAGGCAGGCACTTCATTCCACATTGAAATAAGATGGCTTTTACCACAGGAGACAAAATTTCACAGTGCAATGACGGAAAGACACAGAAAATCAAAACTGATAAAGATAAATTAAAGCAACACATGCTGTCACATTGCTGCAAACTTGTCAAAGAAAGAGATGAGAAAATTACATTCTTTTTCTTTCAATCATCCTTGATTTGAGGGTTGCTGGCATCAAAAACCTTTGTTAATTTTGCTATTTCTCTTCTCAAAGCAGACAAGAGTGAGCATCTGAATTCCTTCTCTCTCAAATTGAGTTTGGAAATGTTTCTTTTGACCAGGGTCCTGGAAGTCTGACGAAGTGTCCATCCTGATTTGGAAGCCATTTTCATTTTCATTAATACAACTAATTCAGACATCTTCTTGCAGATTACCTAATTCTAGTAAGAATCCTTTTTAAAAATTAGAACTAATTTATTTCTACTATGAGGACTGCTGAGTTGATAGCTTATTCTAATCGTCCATCTTCAATGTAACATCTAAATGCCCAAAACGGTGGCAATTGTGAATTTTTATGCTTAAGACAAACTCAATTTTTTTTTAAAGCTAGGACACAGTACAAGTTTGAGGAGGAGATTGCACAACCCTTGTACTCTGTGCCGTGAATACGGAACAAGTGAGCGTGATGTCTGCAGTTTATTAAGATGATTTGGACTGCGAGAAGGTGCACAGCAGATCAAGGGCAGAGGGGAAGGAGAAGGGACAGTTCCAGCCCTAATGAAAAGCTGAGCAGCAGCAGCAAAGATGTAGAACTGTGCATCCTCCACAGAACCCAAAGTGTATTTGTGTCCTTGCAGTTTTGAACAGCGTAGTCTCTAGCCTTTGGATTTATGAATGAATGTTCTCAGTTTACACTTGGCACCTCTGAACATAATTTATTTACAATGCCTGAGCACCAAAAACACAAACTGTGCTTATTACAAGGTTCATTTTTATTTGATGGCACATGAACCAGTCTTGGGATTTATCTCATCTCCATGAACCCTAGGTAAAAACATTCACATGAAAACAAAAGAGCCAAGAACTCAGAAATGTTTATATGGCCAATGTCAAGCTTTCCCGGTGTTGCATTTTTAAAAGATATTTGATTGATCACAAGAAGTGGAGGCCAGGAGGCAAACTCGCTAAGCTGCAGCAATCCAAATGTATTCAGAATGCATAACCATCCATCTCTACCCATTCTGACTATCACCACCAGGATGTATTCATTCACATTAAAAAATGGAACCCAAACTTTCTCCATCAGCAAGATTTGTTGTGCTTCATGGAAGGGATGAGGAGGAAAGATTAATGACTCTTTACCACTGCTTCTGCTACTGAACAGATAGAGGACAGCTTTAGTTGTCACTATAATCATACCATAGGACATTTACTGCTTCATCATTAAACTTCCATAGCATGGTTATTACCATTTCATTTAGAAGTCTTAGTCATCACCCAGGACCCTCCTGTGGTACCACGAGACCAACATTGAACAAACCTTTTGTGCTGCAAAGCACTTCCAGTCAACAAAAGAGATGAGGTAAGAGAGAAAGACTCAGCAACGGGGGCTGCTGTGAGATAATTTTCCTATAGGGGACAGTTATCTTTTCTGCTTTATAATTCTGTAGTGTGATGCCTTCACCGTGAGTTTATTGTTCTATCACTTCTGAGCTGCTGCTGATCTCACATGGTCTCTTTGGTAATCAGTTCTCTATGCATTTTTTTTTAGCTGTTTTCTTATATGGCCATTCTATAGGATGCAAATATTATCAAATTTTGGAAATGTCAGTAATAATACCAGCAGGTTAGCTTTGGTTGTAAATTGTTTAAAGCACAAACAAGCATGTCGTTTATGCCTTTGGGGATACTCTCTAAAACATAAAATACATTAACAGTAATAACCCTACCTATATATTTCAGATTGGTATTTTTGCTTAAGACCAATACAGTGTATTAATACTTGACATAGGCTTGTGCAACATTCCTGCCCTTTGTAACCTATTCGACATCTTCATGCAAGTCCAAACAGTGCAGTTAAAACCCAGCATAATGAATCAAATAAAAAATTCCCTTAAAAGCTGTTGTCTGACCTCCAGATGTTGGGGGGGTTTCCAAACAAAATACGGATTTTGCTATGCAGTTTTATTTTTAGTATGCATCAGTTAGTGCACTCAAACTGCGGA